TTCCGTTGGGGGAAGAGGTACAGAGGGCCCCCTGGCCTGTGGGAGTCCCAGGTAGGGGCCCCAAAGCTGGGACAATACTTCCTCAGGGAAGTAATTTTCAGTGCTTCTCAGAAAAGGACGGCAGCTCAGTGCAGGTTTCCAGCTTTTTAAAGAAGGAAAGGTGCCCGTGGGGTGACGGGTGATCACCCCCACACTTCTGAGTCTCCTCACTCTGCTGAGGCCAGTTTCATTACAGCCGGCTAGTGTGTGAGTATGTGTGTGACAGTTTTCTGCGCAGCGGGTAGACAGCGAAGGCCCCAGCCACGGAGAAAGAGCAGGGATGACCTGTAAATCGACGGATCAGGAAGTACCGGTAAATGGACGTGACCCTTCCGGTGCCTTCAATGTTCTCACTCTCAAATAGATCTAAAAAGGGCTGGTCACTAAATCATGGAAGAGAAAGCATTTCCGGACTTCCTGACAATTTGGGGTGATCGGGGATGAGTGGTCATAAGGGAAACTTGGCTGCCTGTCAGATGTCTTCACTCGCTCCCCACCGGCTCCCCCAGGGAGGGCTTGATTTTAAGGGAGAAGTTAATTTCTTTGTCTTTCCCGAAACAGAGGGTCTTTTCTACACCATCTATTCCAGTAATCCAACACCTAAGTAATGTGTTATCTATCTGAAAAGGCAGCCAGTGTAATAAAGACAAATGTTAGCTTCATAAATCTTTTAGCATTTATATTTTAACACTTGCAAGTTAGAACCTGTATGTATACTGGAAGTTGGATTACAAAATTCGAATCTTTTTATGTTATGTGAGAAAAGAAAACTTACAACATTTTGTTTTAGAACTGCAAGAGTCAAATACTACAGAAAATACAACACAAGTGGTCAGCTCTTTGGTTTAAAAATTGAAAACTGGATATTTTATTCAGGTAAACTTATGCTGAAGTTAAACAGTTACTAGGAAGTATTAATTCTTTGCCTTTATTTTCAAAGGGAAAATTTAGTGACCTCAGGTCAAATTCTTTGTGTCCATCTTCTAACCAAACTTACTGAAAGAAAATGTCCACCAAACCAAACAAAATTTTTATTGTGTATTGTTAAAGCAAAGCATAAGCTATTTTTAAAGAATTATTTTATTTAGCTTTATTTATTTATTTTAATTTGACTAGAGAAGGACAGAAAGAGAGAGAGAGAGAGAGAGAGAGAGAGAAAGCAAGCCACCAGGTCCAGGATTTGAACCGTGGTTGGCCATGTGGGAGTCCAGCGGCCTTAACCACCACACCACCTGCCATCCCCCAAGCATAAGCTATTTAGGAGTTATCATATTATTAGATAATACACTGATTAATTTCATTATTACTACAGATGTTGTTATGTTATTAGATAATACACTGATTAATTCCATTATTATTATGGATGTTGCAAAAATGACAAAAAGCATTATGTAGTGTGTGTTAAAGATTCCATTTCCAGAACTTTTACAATAGTAAAGATCATTATTTGTTATAGGATGCATTATATTTGAGGTATTTTTTAATGGTACATTAGAAACCTGTATTAATAATAGCCAGCTGTTACTAGAACTTTCTTCGTGTCTGTTATAATCGTTTTACAAGACCCTGTCATTAGTATTTTACATATATTAATTTATAATCGTCATTCGTAACCCCCATAATGATTCTATAAGGTAGGTACCTTTAACATTTGTATTTTAGTTCAATTAATATCCTTGTAAGTCTACTACTGCAATGAAAAAAGAAACCAGTTAGGAGTAGCTTCTTAAGAAAAGCTGGGGGGTTTTGTAGAAGTCTCAAACCCTTGGAGCCCTACAGATCCCACCCCCACCCCCACCTCATGCCTCTAATTGTACTTTGATCTTAGACAAGTTTCAAAACTTTCCGACGTTTCAGTTCCCTCTTTTGTAAGATGGGGAGACACACCTTCACGTAGTGCAGTGGGAGAAAACAGGACCTATTGTACAGCAGGTGCTGCAGAAAATGGAGATTTATATTATCAGGAAAGTGGCTCTGTCATATGAAAACGCAGGATGCTGGGGCATATAGTCAAGTCCTACAGACTGTTCTTTCCCTAAAAAATCTCTCATTGTTATTCTGATTTTGCATGTGGGTGGGCCTGCGATTCTATGCAGGAAGAAAACTGTTCAGTGAATAGAATCGATCCTACAAGTCACTCCATAAAGCGACCTTATACATCACTCTCACCATTCTGGGACCGATAGGCAACCGCAGAATGTGTGAAACATACTCCGGAAGAAACGTGTAGATGTCCACACGGTAAGGGGTACAGATGAGGGACTTTCACAATCCTTTTCCCGATTTAGAGCAGACCCTATTGCTCATTTGCAAACATTTAGGCTCCGCTTCTAATTTTGTTTTGTTCTTTTAAAGAATGTAAACAAAACTTTCTTAGGTTGCAGGGTTTTATAAGTTTCTCGATGTCACCCCTCCCCCATTGGCAATCTAAAATTCTTTCTTGACCAGGAATGTTGGGGAAGAGGAGGGAAAACAGAGGAGAGGAGGGAGATTCTTGGGTGCCAGGCATTGCGTGGAAACCCTAAACACTCGAACTTAGAAAATGCTGTGGCTAAAATATGCTTGAAGAATAAGATAAAATTAAAGTGCTTCCTGACAAGCAGTACAAAAGCAATTGACTTAGATCACATCCAGTGTCTGTGCGCCCAGGAACCAGGAAGCTCCAAGTCCCCAGGGCGCGCCTCGGGCATCCCGACCCCACGGCCATGGCAGCACAAAGGCCTCGGCTTCCCGCGGGACCGCGCGGTCTCCAAACCTGGGCTCCTGAGAGTGGAGATTTCGTGTTTTTTTTTTTTTTTTTTTTTTTTTACTGCGGGAGAAGCGATGAAGCCTGGGGAAGGTGAGTTCTAAAGGCTCCAGGATGAACCTTGCTCTCCTTTCTGTTGCTCCCCCTTTAGGACAGCGGCTGCTGCGAGAAGGGAAGGAGCCCGCCGGCCTGCAGCTTTGGAGCCAGCCGACCGACCCTGCCCCTGCGGCCCGGCTGTTCTGAAGGTGCTGCGCGGCTACCGGCGCGGGACCAAGGCCTCCCTGCGTAAAGACTGGGTCTCCTGAAGGCGGGGGTTTCGTACCCACGCCCAGGCACTACCCGCGCTTCCTGCCACCCGTAGGTGCTTCAGAATTCCAGGCCCTGGGGGTGGATTTGGCTCCTCCTGCACCGGAACCACCAAAATCTCCATTTGGGATTTCCAGAGTGAACAAGCGCTTAGAGTCTTTTGATAAATGCTGGATTTAAAACATACATTTTTGAGCCATTTACCTTTTTCCCTTTGATTTTTGATCTTCGTTTTGTGTACGTCCCTCGCACGTACATTTATTTATTGCTTGTCGTTTTCTCTCTCGGCCTTGCTCCTTGACCCACCCCGGAGAGGGAAGACTCCGAAGCCAAGAGCGCGCAGGGGCGATGTACCAAAGCCTGGCTATGGCCGCCAACCACGGCCCCCCTCCCGGGGCCTA